AAAGAAAGAGAGAGAGAGAGAGAGAGAGAGAGAGAGAGAGAGAATTTTGCAAACACTTACCATGCTTAAAATAGCAATTGTTTTGTCACATAAAATTTAAACTTCTATCGCATTTTTGAATAAAATAATTACAGATTTATTAAATAACAAAAATATTGAATTTATTTATTTAAATCTTAAACATTATTTAATATATGAAAACAAAGCGTCTGATTATAAGTTATAAAATATTTAAAAACAAATTTATTAAAATAATAGAAATTGTATTTTTCTTAAGATACAAAACCACCAATATCAAATGTTTAATTTTACAAGTAATTTAAACCAACGTGTTATACGCCGCCATCGCGTGTATAGGCCGGGTTAGTTGAGCCGCTGCGGGACTGACCGCTGTTGGGCGGTCGGTATGCGGTGGCGGACCCAAAGTCATCCATGTGTTGACCATGGTGACCACCAGAATTCTTGCGTGATCTAAAGGGTGATGCAAAAATATAGTCACATATTAGTTATAATTATAATTAAATAATAATTTTTGTGTTTAAAATAAAAGCAAATAAAACAACTAATTGTCAATAATTTTCTAATATAAAAGACACACATATTTTACAGAATATTCTATCAGAAAATACATTAAGTTTAGAATTAATATTAGCTTAAACTACTATAACAGTCTACTTCTAATTGAGCAATGTAATTGTAAACTATGTGGACTGTGAGCACGTTTATAATATCAGACCCACCTTTCCGTATGCATTCGGTTTAACACTACCGGTGCTCTCGACTGGTTTTGTTTTGCCCTGAATATTGAGTTTTACAACAGAGAGAAACAGGTATATAATCGGGTGCGTAAAAACGGATCAGGATAATTTACGTTTACACCTAATTATGTCATACAATAATAATAAACAGTATAATCGATACATACTTTCTAAAGAATATTCCGGCCACAATACCAACGACCACAACGGCCACCGCCAACACCACAATACCGGCGATCCAACCGCCGTTTGACACACTGTACTCGGATTCACACTCCAGACCGTAATACCTCTCATTGCAATCGCAGGCACAGCTACCGTCCGGCAGTGGCTTAGCCTTTCCGTTCCCGTGGCAGTCCTTGTGGCCGCAGTTATCTAGTAATGGGTGAGCAAAACAATTAATTTTATGTTTAATATATGGTTTATATTTGTCACTTGAGCAATTTATCACTTACCGTTGCACAATGCGCCGTCGTATGTGAAACCTTTATTACACACACAGATCGGAAGTGCCTCAAATGAATTAGGAGCCTTTTCCTCCACAGCCACGTGACACTGTCCATTGGCCGTACATACACCATTACATACTTTGTTCACTATAAAATAACATATAATGCATTGATTATTAACAATTTAGTTCGTAACTAATTAAATTGAATCAACATTTTAAAATAAAATAAATAACAACTAATTAATTACCAGAGCAAATCTCAATCACGTGTTTATCGTCGGACCCAACGGCTTGATAGATATCAACCTGGGTTTTGCTGGTGGCGGTGAATGATGTGGCTGGTGTGCACTTACAACTATATAATGAATTTCCCGCAGGGTCATTTTGACATGTTGAGTATAGTGGGCATACGGTGGAGCTCGTGTCGCAAACCTAATCATATTAAATTGAATTAGATTAGAAAGTTATCATCAATATTTTTAATTTTATTAAATACTAATTAACTATAAATGTAATTTGTAGTAAATAAAATAGTAATAAAATAAAACTCGCCTTGTGCACTCCCAATTGAGTTTGTTTGACCTCATTGGTTTTAAATAGTAAACGTTCTGGATCGGCGAGTGCTGGGTGGGGTGTGATAACGGGC